CCCTAATCTATGCCCTTTTCAGTTTCTAGATTTCTTTTAACCCCTTTTGGATTCTATAGGTAGCTAGAGAAAAATATCGCCTTGATGTACTGTGAATCTCGTCCTTTTATCTGCACTGTGAGCAACTGGCCCAAACCTAACACCATGCTTTTGCAAAAAAATCCCACAAATATTTGCTACAGTGCTTTTGCTGTCTCCTGCACAGTTCCTTCCCAGGATGTTTCTTCAGACTTGTCATTGCTTCTTTAATGCAGCTCTTTTCAGGTTCCTCAGTTAAATTTTAAGTGGAGTAGTAATATTCCACTTTTTTGGCATTATTTCTGTTTCTCTCTATTTCTCTGGTCCAGTCAGCATGAGTTTTTTGTTTGTTTTTGTTTGTTTGTTTGTTTGTTGAATAATTAAAAGCTTTTTCTCACCTGGTTAGAAGACGGCAGTCACGTATTTGTGATACAAATATCACAGTGTTTGTTTCACAAATAGTCTTTTTAATTTCTTGGCATTACTTGCCTGGTCAAAAAAAAAAAAAAAAAGTCAAGCAGTCAAGTGCAGCAAGTCAAACTGCACATTATGATAATCTAATTACGTGTATGTATCTCAGAAACAGCGTAACTGTATTACTTAGACTATTATTTGATTTTATGCTGCTGTGATAGAGACCATCTGCCAAGAAAAAATGATTTGATGAATATTGTTGAGAAATGGGGCATTCTGGAGAAATACATTCATACTATATTTAAACTGCAAAAGAGGTGACTTTCTGGATGGCTTGTCACAGATTTCAGAGCCAAAGAAAGTCATTGTGATAGCATAGGCTACGCTACTGAATTGCCTAGCGTGTAGTTTTTCAGAAGCTGTAAAAACTTCCCAGAGAGAAGGAATTCTCTGCAGTCTTTAGAAAATTATTGTGCTATTAAAATTTCATAGTTTTATCAGTTTGTACTGTATCTCTAGCAGGAATTATCAAGTTCATGGTTGAAGTAATCAAGTATTATACCTTGAAGTTATCAAGTAATGGTTCATCTTGCATGTATTATGTGCAGTACAAAGTCTCTATTTTTAAAAGTATATTTTGAAAGTAAGTAGTTAAGGACTGTGATAATCATCTGATAAGCTAAACTGTCTTCTCATTCTGAGGCATATCTTTAAATTTTTGAATGAGTTTTGAAATGCTCCTCTGTGTCTTTTGCAATTTATCCACATTCTTTTTCAGCTTTAGTCACCAGACCAGGCAGTGGTCCAGTAACAGTGACAACCATCTAGAAAATATATCCTTTCTTCTGCAGCTTGATTTTACTTTGTTTATTTATCTAAATAACACTTTTGATATAAAAGGTAGGCACAGCTATCGCTTCCACTTTCACACATGACTTAATAAAAATGGGTGCTTTGTTGACTGTGGGCTTTTTTTGTTCCTGCTGGAATGCATTAGCCATGTTTAATCTTGACTCAGGGTCTTTTGCTGAGACAAAGCTTCTAAGATATCCTGCCTCCTTCTAATAATAGTTCACATTCCTAAAAAAATGCAGAATACCTACTGTATCAAAACTGATATTGTCGGTGCATCACTTACAGTTCAAAGTCATTTGCCTTAGTTACTTATCCACTTCAATTTTGCATCTATTCTTTTTTTTTCTTTCTAGCAAAGCTATCTACCTAATAATTTTACTTTGGCTTGCAGCATTAATTACTAAATTAAATAGGCTTTACAAAAAAAAAAAAGATAATTTTTGATGATTCCTTTTCACATATATATTCTGCAGCTGCTAGGGCCAGATGCATTGCTGTTTGCTCTTGATATCTGGTTCAGTTGGGATTCACAAAGTAAGGACCCACAGCTGAGTTGTCTGGGGCAAGGCCGAGGGAACTCTGTCCTTTAAGCATTCTCCAAGTATGCTAAAACTACAGAACATCATTAACCTTTAAACACATGTCTGAAAGAGGGATTGCAATGACTTGCAATTTACATATTATTTTGATAGTTAAAAAATAGTCTAAAAAGTGAAACACTTTGCCCCCTAGGCTGAGAAGTTGAAAGACTCTCTCCCCCTTTCTCAGAAGAGTTCTGTAGCTGTCGGGTTACAGACTTTGCTGGGCGAACTTCCTACCCTTCCTGTTGTTCAGTAAGGAATGCAAGATTCACATGACTTTAAAGCAAGAGGGAGCCTAAAGGCAGCTATCCAGTAGAGAGAGAATCCTGAGCTCTGGTCCTTGTTTTGGTATCGTTTACATATTTTTTAGGATTTACAAAGGTTATTTACAAATAAAATTTTTGCATTTATTATAACTAAAAACAGCTACCATCAGGGAGCTACTGTAATTTTAGAGATAGAGGTGCTTGATGTCAGCCTGAGATAAGGGAGCTAAAAGGTATTTAGGTCGATCTAGAGGGGCAAATATGGGGTTTATCTTGGGATAAAAAAGGAGGCAGGAAATTATCTACCCGTCAATTTAACTTCAGTTTTTAACAACTTTTAGAATAAAGCTGTTCATAAATTAGAAAACTTTCGGCAAACTATGCTGTAGGTAGAGGACATATAAAGATACAATGACATATCATTCTCCATTTTTCCTGTAGCAAAAAAAATGTTTTGGCTTACTTAATTACATTTGGACAATGTTTTAATTCCAGATAGGAAATGTTCCATTTCAAATTAGCTTGATCATACTGTTCAGATAACCATTTTCTTATATAGTGTCTGTTGCTTTTAAGATGTTGTTGAGATTATAGTCTACATGTGTTGTAGTATGTATGCGAAGACTGCATTGTCTGCCTCCACTGAAAAGAAGGGGTCAAGTGGCACCTGAAACTCGAGTGAAATGGGTGTTGAACAGGTACTACTGATGACTTCATTGAAATCTGTAGGACATATGAGGAGGAAAAGAAGGAAAAAAATGTCCCTAATATCTCTAGAGGAAGGATGAGGAGAAAGACAGAACTAACATAATCTACCAAGAGAATTACTTTTTTCATGTTCATTATGACACATTTATTATAGTAGCCTAACAGTTTACCACAGTAGAATAATATTATGCACTCAGTTTTTCTCATGGTCTTTGTCTAGTGCTATGTCACCTCAGTTTGAACTGAATCTTGCAGTTTATTAGGAGACCCATTTTTTTGAAGTCCCCTGCTCTGGGGTGCAATATCTTAATGTGAAGTGAACAATGCTCTTGTTTTATAGGACCAGGAACATCTTTGAAAGTCCCTGGAACTAGCCAAGGTGGAGGTCCCAGCCCAGCTGTTAGGTATGTGTTTGTTTGTTTATGGGAAATAAGACTTGAAGAAGACTCTGTATAGATGAGAAAATCCTAAACTTAACATCTAAAATAAAATGCGTTAGATATAATTCTTTAAAGTCTCTCTATTGATACATGAGGATACATAATAATGTGCTTGACATCTCTAGGCCAGTAACTCAGTCAGGAAGACCTATTACAGGATTTGTGAGACCCAGCACGCAGAGTGGACGGCCAGGTACTATGGAACAGGCTATAAAAACACCTCGAACGGCGCACACAGCGCGTCCGATTACTAGCGCTTCTGGGAGTTACCCCAGGCTGGGAACGGTAAGTTCTGTGACTGCTCTTACAGAGACCGTTTTGTTGACCATAATACAGCACACAGACATTGGATTTGACTTAAAAGCCATGTCTAAACTCAAGCTTAGCGTTTTTGATTTCTTGTTTAAAGTGTTTTCAAAGCACAATTTGAAAATATAACCTCTCATTAGTTTGCTAATGTGTTTATGTGTAAAAGCCGCCTACAGATTCAAGTTCTGAGAGATCAATTTTATTCACTAAAGACCATTAAAAGTCTATATTGTGATTTTACCTCAAGTATGCTGAAACTTCTTCCAACCATTTCAGTTTACTGCAACATTAATGCTTGCTTTCTAGTATCTGTCAATTTAGAAGATAAGGAAAATTGCTGATGTTTAGGCACTTTATAACAATTAGAAAGAGGGAGGAGAAAGGTAGCCCCAGAAGGCAATTCATCCCACCTTTCTTAAAGATAGTATATGAGCAGGCAGTTTTATTAGGTTCCTGATTTTTCAAAAAAAAAATCTGTAAGATAAATCTCCCTTCCACAGCATAGCAGTGGATTTACAGAATTCTTAATTTTTATTTTTCCCCTATATATTTCTGCTAATACTTCATTTTTTTCATGAAAAATGCAAGGAATTTCTCATGAATTTTTTTTTTCTCCCCTTCAGGCCTCAATGCTGACAAATCCAGATGGCCCTTTCATAAATATGTCTCGACTTAATTTAGCAAAATATGCTCATAAACCCAAACTGGCAAAGGTATGTCATTATTTTGGTTGACATTCTGATATATTTTTCTAACTTTCTGGGACGATTTCAATGTAATTATACATTATATTGTGTATTTGACCCATGATGCAAAGTCCAGACAAATAGTGCATGTGTATTTTCTGTACACAAACAGTTGTTATTACACTTGAAACTGAAAACATATCTGAAGAGGTGACTCAGAAAGTATAAGTTGGAAAAAATATTTTGATAGAATAAAATATAATAATCTAGAACTATACATATAGGAGTTAGGAGGGTAAAAAGAAAAGGAGCCACAGCAGAATACTCCTCATTACCCAGAGATAAGGTTTTGTCATAGAAATAGATGTCAATACTGACCTAAAAATGTTCAAGTGGTTTGGATTTTTCCCTTTGATTTTATATTATGAGTCGCTGATCTTTTTATATATAAATACTTAATCTTTTTGTTCAGAAATTGTTTTTGTTTTTAGATTAGATTCTGTGATTGACAGTCTTTGAAACCAAGGCTGTCTGCCAACAGAACAGGTTTGTCAGTATTTCTGCCCAGCTTTGGGTTTTCAGGCCTCACTGGGGAGAACCTAAAGTCTAATGCTGTGTCACTCTGTGGCCTTTCAGATGAATCTTTTCCCAGTAGGTCCGCATGTATGGATAATGACGTTTTGTGTGCCTACTTCATTCACAAACAGCAACTATTGCACTCTAATTCATTTTGCAGAAGAGGTATCCAAGAACTGTCAGACAGACTCTTCTCCCCTATTTGGCTCGTGAGCTAGAAGCAAAAGAAATTTGTATTTTCAGTCCATTTTGAGAAAGTCTAGTGGTGGAAATCAGCTCCACCAGCCTAAAACTGGTTGTTTTATTTGCTTTTCTTAAATGACTAGCAAATTCTTTTTTTTTCAATGCTGCTTTAAAAAAAAAAATTAGACCGATTTAGTACATTGTTTATCAATGCAGTTTTCTGAGGAATAGGTCTTTTGTGATCAATGTGTGTCCCACCCACTACTTGCATCCCTGTTCTTTAGCCAGTTAACCAGACTAGACAAATGGATCGATCTCAGCTGTGGTGTGCACCTTAATTGTTTTATCACTGTCTGCATAGGAAGGACTTGTGAACTAGCATCTGCACTGAGATGAGTTACAAGACAGTTCTTCATCAGTTCTGAAAAAAAATGTAGGAATTTGTCCAGTTATGTCCTGGCCTGCCAGTCAGTGCACACATCATTCTAAATTCACCACAGTCAATAAAATAAGAGAATGTAGGAAGCCTGGGAAGAATTAAAGTATACAAGAGACACCCATAAGAAATCCAGCTTGATTAGTTCATCTGTTTAAAAACATCCAGATTTTAATTGTTAGGTAACTATATACACTATGAAGTAGGTAGGGTAGCTGTCAGATGAAATACTTATTCTCAGTGACAGCTGTTAGACGTGCAATACACATTTTAAATTTTTCTTTTAATTAGTTTTTTCCAAGATAAAGTAGCTCTGTTTTCCTCCAGTTTCATGTGAAAAAAAGGCTAAAGCCAAAAAATACGAAGCAACAGTCCTCCTGGTAACATCCATATACAAGTGCACTTGTCAGTATTATGAAGCTAATATGTTATGACATTCATGTTTCACACAGAATGCAAAATCTAATTTTAAAGTTGGAGCTACATGGATTTTTGACTTTTCTTTTAAGCAAGATAGCATTAAGGCTAAAGCCAAAGCAGGAGGCTAGAGTGCACTTTGTGTTAAGTCATTGCTTAATGTTTTAAATTCTTTGAGCTGACACCTTTCTCAGGTGCAAGGTGATGATAAATCCTGCGCTATTAAGTTCACATAATTAGCCTGTTTAAACGTTAGTGTTGATTCGTGTTGATTCGTGCTTCTCCTACTCGCCTCTTCCTATCTCTTTACAAAGTGTACTTATCACATCTGCCTTTAAGTAGATTTTGCATTTTTAGTTGCATGACTAGGTCTTCCTGTGTGTTTAAGGATACAAGAACGGGCAAGGTAGGCATGCAAGTAACTTATGTCTGACTATCCAGGTGCAGGCCTAGTGCAGGAAGCCTTGCAGGAGACATCTGAGATATTATCTGTTCCTAGAGAGAGCCTCTATTAAATCTCAGCAGTTGGTTTATGCTCTACTACAGGAAGGTTAATCTTTTTCAGCTTGTGGATTTTAATAGAGTTACTCAGATAAATCTAGGTCTTTTTATCTAACTGAATGTCCACTCTTTTAAATACATTTGAAAGTCAGGGCCTATAGATAGTGGCAGTAAATTTCTCATAGTAGCTATCCAAAAAAAAAAATCCTTTTTATCACTTTTAGATTTGCTCGCTTTTATTGTATGATTCTTTATTATGGAACTCAAATTTTCACCACTTATTTATTTTCTCTTACTATTTTTGTTTTTAATCATCTTCTGCCTATCTAATCTTCCCATAACTGTATTTTGGCTAATCTTTATGATCTTTTGGTTGTCTGTTCAGATCCTTTTCAAAACAAAAGTAGAAGAAAAATAGGTTGAGATTTACTTTCTTCATCTGACAAGGCAATTCATCAGCAATTCTCTTACTTCCTTAATGTTAATCTTTTAATATTTTTGCCTGAGGAAAACTAGCAGAAGAGTCAAGGAAAGCCTTTGGAGGATTGCTGGTTCATTCTTTTCCTCTTTCTTTATGTGATTGCTTTTTGTTTAGAAAGTTTATATTTATATTGCCTTGCTATTATTGTGAGCTAAGAACATGCTTATGAAAATGATAGACATAACATCAAAGCTTAAAGAAGTTATGATGGCTGAGCACCAATTTTTAAAAGTATAGTACTACTAGCATTTATCATTTATGAGCAAAAAGGAAGTTGAAGTTTTTTGCAGATTGTAAAGTTCTGTAGGGTTTAAAGCTTTTTTCTGTTCTGGATGAAAAAAAAATTACTCAGTTACTTTGTTAATAATTCTTGGTTTAGGTTAATTAGATTTAAAATTACTTTAAGTACCTAAATACACATTTCATGTTTGTTAGATTACTTGTTGATTTTACTGCTACGAAGTCACAAAAATAGTACTTGGATTTCCAACTTTCAATCGCTTTCAAATCATTGCTACTTTTTTTTTCCCAAAATGAATTTAAGGACCAAAGATTAGGGCTTTCCTTTAATGACAATGTAGAATGCTTATAGTTTTGTTTCTGTTTAAGTCATAATTAAATATTAATTTCAACAATTGTGATTGTAAGTAAGATTGTTATCATAAAGAATTAATGTCTGCCCAACATGATCAAGAGCCTCAATTCTTCCAAGATAATTTTAGTTGGTTTTTATCTTCAAGCTTTACAATGTTTTAAATGTTCCTTTGACAGGCATTGTTTGAATATATTTTTCACCATGAAAATGACATTAAAAATGTAAGTATCTATACTTTTCATTTCCTGTTTTTATTTCATCTCATTCTGTTACTTGTCTGTGTTGTGCTAAATTAAGGATCTAACTAGTATTTCATATCTTAGTACATAAATGAAGCTTTAAAACAAATTTTAAGAAAGAAATAATAGAATCAGAGTCATTACAGTTGGAAAAGATCTTCAAAGCCCTTCAACACCATGCCTGCTAAACCATGTCCCTAAATAATATCGAGGAGATGGGAGATGGGGTCTGGCCAGGCTTTTCTCTGCCGGCAGCAGATATTCTGTGGATGATGCGTTGACTGTGTGCTCTATTGGTGTACCTACCTCAATTCTGGTGGTGCAAAATTACATAATCCTTTCTATAAGTGTCATAATTTACAAATACTGAGATTCCAGTTCTTCTCTTTTTTTCTGAAGCAAAAAAAATACTCTAATGCTGTGGAAATCTGACAAAAATAGTTTGAACTGAACATCACTGGACATTTGAAATTATTGGGATGATAGCTTATACATTTTGGTCAAGGAAGGGTAGGGATCAGAAGTATTTGGCGAAACTGCAGCAAATTAAAATATCAACAGGAGATTGATCTCTCTAGGAGTGAAACTTCATAGAGGTGAGTTATATTGTGGTACCAGTGGAAACATTATATTGTCCATACCATTGTCTGTAACATTTATTCTATTAAAGTTTTTCCCATTGATTTTTAACAACTTCCGTTACAAAATCTGACAGTTTGCCCCAGGACTGAAGAATTTACAGTACTGAGCTCTGGGATTAATGCAGTTTTTCTAATTATACATTTTTTTCCTCCTACGCTGAGACCTTTCTTCAGCTGCTCTTTCTATGTTACTGTGCTGTATGGGCAAGATCATTTTCAGTTACTTATTGTTTAAACTTGCATAAATACTTAGGTCAAGTTTTCAGGAGTTTTTTGGCAGATTACCCAGGAGTAAATTACTAAATAAAATGTCAAAATGTGTGATTACTCTGTTAGGTATATGTACACAGCTGAAATGGAATCAAAATTTCTGCTCAAGGTTTATATGGATTGTTTCATGTCAATAATGTGAAACTGAGTAAACAGTGAATTTTCTGCAGCACTCCTGGCATATGATTAAGTGATTAGAGTTGAAGTTAAATTCCTAAGTTGCTTTTTTGATTCTGTCATTTTCGGTTGGTTGATCAATAACACACAAAAAAACCTTTTCTTGGCATTGACAAAGATCAGAATGATTTCAAAATGTACTGAAGTAGGGTGCTTTTAATCTAGTATCAAGGAGTTATAGTTTCAAACTTTCAATGTATTGCGGAGAGTACTTTTAAGAATATTGAATTGCAATGAACTATCATCCAAAACATGGCTGCACCAGTAAGTGCAAGTGTCAGAACGGTGAGAGAGAAATACCAATTAACATTTACTTGTTCTGATACTAAGCATTAAAAAATAGGACAAGAGAAAATGACCTCAAGTTGTGCCAGGGAAGGTTCAGGTTAGACTTTATGAAGTGTTTCTACATGGAAAGAGAGGCAAAGCATTGGAACAGGCTGCCCAGGGAGGTGATGGAGTCACCATCCCTGGCAGTGTTCAAGAAACGTGTAGATGAGGCACTTAGGGACATGGTTTAGCAGGGATGCTGGTGATGGGTTTGCAGTTCGACTTGATGATCTTGAAGGTCTTTTCCAGTAATCACAAATCGCAAAGAATCACAGAAGGGTTGAGGATGGAAGGGACCTCTGGAGATCATTCAGTCCAACCCCTGTGCTCAAGCAGACAGCTAGAGCACATGGCACAGCGTCACATGATTCTATGATTCTATGAAAGTGGGTTTTTTTTTTGTCACTAATAATGAAAAGATGTTCGTTACTGAGAACCCAGTTCTCAGGAATAAGGAATCACTTAATAAGAGGTCATGCATGCCTGTCAGCTACCCTCAAAGGACATACAGGATTACGAGGCTGAAGAGAGAATTTTAGATACTCTGAAAAAAAATTGTAAAATGTTACATAATAATAGATGTATTTTTAAGTCCCTAATGAGAATCCAGGATCACTGGCTTTTAGGAAAAAATATTGTGTATGTTTTCTAAGTACCCTAGCCTCAAAATTTAAATCTGTATAAAAAAGGAATGCGAATTCTTCACCTGAAGAAGAGTATGGAAAGCGAAGCAGCAGGTTATTTCTTTTCATGAGCAGTTTCCCAGCAAATTAATAGCAGTTTTAGCCCAGGATCATCAAAGACCAAGTCTCCAATCACAGCACAGAAGTAGTAGAGAGAGTATGCTTCCTTTGTCACTTTGTTGATCTAGAATGGTCTTAATTGTTTTCAACCTCGTCATTATTTAAAAATCAAAGGTAGTTTTATCATTTCAGTTCTGCTTGGTATTCAGGCAGTCTAGAGAAAGAAAAAAGAGCCTCAGCAGTTTCAGTCAGGGAATAGCATTAATCAATGTGCATTCAGCTGGGAAAACAGTGCTAGGAATTTGGTTCAAATTAAAAGTAAATACATCTATAAGCTATCAATTAACAACAGCTGAGGGGTAGAGGAAAAGAAGCACTCTGCTTTTTTGAGCCCTTGAAAATGTATTCAAAACTCTTTCCTTTTACTTAATGAAAAATTAAACAGTTTCCTAAATTAATTTCTTTAGGAAATTAGTTTTATTTAAATAAATAAAGTAAATAAATTTATTTAAATAAAATACTGCCTTAGCCATCAGTGTTCTTGACTTGTTTCCTGTTGGACTGATATATATTCAGTAACTGGCTTTCTCAGCTCCTTGAACTACTTCTAAAAGGCATTTTGGGGGCTAAATTCTGTGAGAGCAGGCAGTTTAAAATGCCTCTCCAAGAACAGTTCAGCTTCTACTAACTTATTTCAGCATTAAGCTGTGATGCTGGATTCTGCTGTTATTCTTAGGTGAGTAATGATGGCAAAAAGCTTTGTCTTGAGAGAGAACGATGAATGTACATTGTACACTTGGGGGCCAATAGTCATGAGCTCTGTTGTTTTCTTGGTTCTTCTCAACGGTCTGAAGTTTATGCTCTCTGAGAGGAAACTGTTTATATTGGACTTGTATAACGGTTTTACAAACAAACTGTAAAAATCCTGAAACACTTGCTAAAGGAAATTATTTTAAATTGACTATGGCTGATGTCCTTTACTCAGCATTCTGATAAACTATCATGTGCCAACTTATAAAGAAATCAATATCTGCCACTAGAAAAATTATTGCCGATTATTGCCAGCAGTAGACACACTATAGTTTGTATGAATACACATTTTCTTGTTGCATACAATCTCATGTGTGAAATTAGTAAGTTTCCAACAAATGTACATTTTTATTTTCATTTTGCAGTGCTATAGTAAAGGCTTGTTAGCCTACAAGCTGCTTTATTCTGAGGTACTGCTGGTAGAAAATTTGGAAAATGTAGTTATCCTGAAGTAAGGAGACTAAGGAGAACTAAGGAGAGTAATGGTAAAAAAAAATACTCAGGATAGTGTTAAATATAGCTACATTTAAGGCATCTCCTTTCTTTTCATTTAAAATTAGTCTGATCCATTCTTTATAAAAACTGCTTTTCACCAGAGGGAAAAAAAAAGAAAAAAAAAAGTATTGGGGTTTATTTATTTATTCATTATCTGTACAAATAAAATAACTGAGAGTAAAATAAATTTCTACCATTAATTCTGGGCTAATGTATTTGTTGATAGAGAGTACTTTATACAGGAGTAACTAAGCTAAATGTGCTATCGAGTAGCAGTTTCAGCAGACTGGCTTTCCCAGATAATGAGTACTATCCTGCAGTTATTAAAACTTTTGGGACAATTGATGAGATGTAGATTAGAAGTCAAAATCCTTAAGAAGAAATAACAGTGTCTGCCATTTTGTGAAAGGAGTAATCCACAATCCATGATACCTTCCTTTACTGCTTGTTAATGCAACTACACTAATACTCAGAAAGGCACAGGAGTGCCACGAGTCTAAGAACACTTATTATTGTTTTTATGGATTGGTTTTAATTTCATGTGCTGTGCAGTTTCTACATTGATTTGTACCTAAACTTTGCAATTAAATGTTTTGTTTTAAACTATGAGAGGAAATTGTGCTTGCAATTGGTATTGGCATGGCAAAGGGAAAGCTCTGAGTTTTAAAATTTTATTTTAATCAAGTTATTAATATTTCAAAGGCCACATTATCAAAAGATTTTGTTGTAGTGCCAGCTGAAAGTAGAAATCAGAAATAATTAGGGTACTCCAGTGGAAGCTGAAAGCAGAGCTACAGAAAGGATAGTTGTGCTTTCTAAAATTTTCCCACTGAACTGTATTGGGACAAATTTGCTTATGTAGCTTCAGATGAAAGTGGAGAAGGGAAACTGCTAGTTTTTGTTTTGAAACAGACTCCTTCCCCATCATAGCTGTAGTGTCCAGAGGTTGTACTGTGCATTTAGCCCTTAAAAAACATCATCAGTCAATTAAAATAAGCTTTGGTCCATGGGATCCACCAGTCTGAGGACTTCAAGGTCTCCACGTGCCTGGAAGAACTGGTGAATTCAAAACTCCTCAGTTTTCTCTATTCATCAGAGAAGTTGTGACTGACAACCCTTTCTTTCCAATTTAGGGGACAGTAAGTGCAACTCCACAGCTTAAACTGCTACTGGAAAGAAATTATTCTTTTCTACACAGCCAAAATACGTCAACTTAACTAAGTTGTCTTCGCTCCAGGGATTTTGCTGAACTATGCCAAATCGATACCTGAATGTCAGGTTTATGCAGCCTGTTTAATAGCAGGAGAAAAAGGAATAATATCTATGGATAGATGTCTCGAAATTAGGCTGTTTCTGGTATTTAAAGCATTCATATGATGTTATCCTGGAAATTATTGGTTCCTCTGCTATAGAGTAACCAGAACACTTCCATAATGCTTCTATTAGAAGTCTAGTTTCTAACTGCTATGGTCTGCAAAATGCTTATGAAGAAAAAAATGAATACTTTGTTGTAAAAGTACTGCTTTAAAGCTTTTTATTTATGATGGTATGCCTATAACAGAAATATCAAATGTAGCATGGTTCTAATATGTTCTAAGAAAAACTAAATTAAGGAAAAAAAAGAAAAAAGAAAAAAAAAAGAGAGCGCACTAACAATTGCTTATTTGGTAAGTTTTCATACAGAACAGGCATCAATATTTGACCAAAATGATGAAATTTGCATTTTAATGAGAAACATCCCTAGCTAGCATACCTACTTTTCAGCTATATCTGATGGAAGAAGTTTTAGAAACTATCTCCAATAGCCGTCTATTTCTCAAAATATTTGTCTATTTTAAGTCATGGAAAAGTTACTTGCATCATAGGCTTTGTAAAGAAAGGTTTCCCACTGAACACATCTGAGAGCTCCCAGAAAGAGAAGCAGCCTCATAATAATAATGAGATGACAATTCTTGACATATTTCAGACTGTCTGTACTGAATTGTTTATTCTAGTAGGTTTTTACTTGTTTTCAGGAAACTGTAGTGAAGGTGGATGAGAAACTGGAAAGGAATGATAGCTCATGCGATTATTATGTATACTCTGGAGCAGCAACTCAGCAGTCTAATCAAATTAATTTCATATTTTTTCTTTGAATTACTAGAAACTGTTAGGATTACATGTTTTTATTGGGACATATTATCCTTGCAGCTCTTTTATGTCATAAACTGTTCAAGATAGTAAACATTAAACAGTGCCCCCTCCTCATATTTACTACAGCTCTTTGCTCAAATTTATCTTTTTACAAAAATCTTTCCACTGATTACTTCCATTTTTTTTTTTACTTTGTATAACCACAAAAGTAAAAATGTTAAAATGATGGGTTTGTTTTGGAAGGCTCTAGATTTGGCAGCCCTTGCCACTGAGCATGCACAGTTCAAGGACTGGTGGTGGAAAGTCCAAATTGGGAAGTGCTATTACAGGTAAGCCATTTTCCTTTCTTTTTTTCTTTCTTTTTTGTGACGAGTGATGATGGGTCCTGGACCACAGCTGCTGTGTGTGTTGTGTAATATTGGACATTAAGAAATACCACTATGTATTTAACTGGCAAGTACTGTACTTACAGTTAAATCTCCTTTAACAACTGAGGAGATTATGCTCAACTACTTGAGGTAAAGGCACCAGCAGTGCCTGCCTTTAAGTAACAGAACTATTTGCATCTTTAACAAAGATGAAGTGCTTCAAAATTGCTGGCTGAAAATTCAGTAAATTAATGCGAAGAACTATTATTAAAATGAACTGTCCAAAAAATTACAGTATTAGATTGAGAAAATATGTGTTAGTGAAGGTTTCAACTTCAGTGAAATAATGATTTATATTAGACAACTTCCACCGGTTGTGTATTGCCCAGGAAATGCTGAACAGTTAGAAAGATGGAGGCAAGGCTCACAGATGGCAGCTGACAGCAGTGACACACAACTGTGACTCTCTGAAGAGAGGGCAGCAACAGTAAAACACAAGGAATATACTGGTTATTACAAAACATTAGCATCATCTGCAGACTTTGCAATTGTATAAGTAGTACTTGTATGAGCAGACTGATAATGCAAAGCAGTTAGCCCTTTAAAATTCCATGTTCCTTGTTGTATCATGGTATGAAATGAAACCATTTCAGATGCCTAATGACATTCTTCATTATCCTTAACCTTTATTTGACATTCTTAAGGAGATTAGGCTGATTTTTTTAAAATTTAGAGGTCATTCATCACTTTCATGATTTTGTGAGTAGTACTATAGAGAGTAAAGCATGCAAGCAGGCATATGTGCTTCCAGCATCAGAATTACATTATATTGGCTACATGACATTGGTTATGTTTCTTTGCTCACCAAGTATATGTGCTGTTTGGCTGAGGGAAAGAAATGCAATTTGGATGTAGGAAAATGCACATTTTTGCTGTTGTTGAAGTGATAAAAGCCTCCCATTTTGAGACTTTTTGTAGTTTATTTAGCACTTACGGATCACTGCTATTTATTCCAGAGTAATGGAGTATTGCAAAACAAGAGCTCTTGATATGAAACAGGCTCCTGCAGGGCTTGCATGCCGTGCATTCCCCTAAGAACAAGTCAACAAGTGGTCTGCATGAAGAGTCCAAGCTCTGGTGCAGAAGACTGCACCAGAAGGCTTAAGAGTTCATGGATTTGCCTTTCTCCTAGTTTTTCAATGCTTATCTTTGTAACCTAAATGAAAGTGTTTTTTGTTTTGTTTTGTTTTTTTGTCCACATGCAAACAAATATAAGTATGCTTTTGGCTAGTGCCTGTTTGGTTTAGTGTGCACTGTTTTCTAATGTAATTTAGAAAGAATATGTGTATTTTAAAAGAAGCACAAAAAATGCATGCCTTCTTACCTGTTATATCTTTTAGGTTAGGATTGTATCGAGAAGCTGAAAAACAATTTAAGTCGGCTCTCAAGCAACAGGATATGATTGACACTATCTTGTATTTGGCAAAAGTAAGTCATTGATTTGCTTATTCCATAATGATGTGAAATTCCAACCTATCCCTGAAAAGTCCATATACAAGAATAGCTGAACATCCAGGTCAGTACACTGTAAAGATTTATAATGTGTGACCTCCACATAGACTTGAGGCAATGTATGTTAACAGCTAAAACAAACCGATGTATATAGCTTGAAAATATATTTTGAATCTTTCAGTCTTCAAAAAAAAAAATCTTTCTTCTACCTTACTGTGTTCTTTGCACTCAACTCTGGTGAGGGATATACAGCTAAAGAATTACTAGAATTTCAGTATGGAAAACAATGTAGCTATCTATGGTCGCCTAGGAAACTAATGCAGTAAATCAGTAAGTGATGAGTGAAGCTCAGAAACCTAGTTTCACAAGCAAAAACAAAATAAGGGGAGCTTACAGGAAGCAGTCAGAGACCTTGGAAGAGAGAATGCTCTGTCAAAATAAAGGCATTAAAAGCTTTAAAAGAACAGCTGGCACAGCTAAGCATTGGAATTACTTGTTTGTGAGGGTACACGTCAGATTCTAGACATTTTCCAAGGCATTCAAAAAGAAATGGCCTGTGGAAAACTAAGACTGCATTTTTCTTCCTTTAGTGCTAGAAGAAGATGAAATCAATGGCTGTTTATCATCTCCCTTCAAGTCAGCTGTCACAGATCTGTCCAAAACAAGTCATCATTACTAGCAAGTAATTCAGATATTTGTGTTATGGTACTGGCTCATATTTGCTGTACCTTTGTAGTTCTTGAGGAATTTACATTTGGAAATTTAAACTGTTGTCATTGGTGTCTGAAGACTTGTCTTTGGACAGCTGTTTGAGTTAGTTTACTCAATTTAGCTAAGTCATTTTAGATTTCAGTCACTAGCAGGAGTAATTCTGCAAAACACTTGAGCTACATGGAGTGATAAAATAAGTAATTTGTTTTATAAAAACTGCGATTTGTAATAAAGCTGTGCATTCCCCTATACCAGTGCTAGCCTTTGTAGAAGCAGCATTTGAACATCTACCTCCCACTGCACAGACCAGCTAGCTCAAGTATAAGGCATCACACAACATGATTTATGTTGGACTGTGGGTGGGCAGGCAATGGAGTAGGGCATTGAGTTACTGCTCAGTCTAATAATACAGCAGCTGTAAGGCTAGAGTTAAACAGCCATTGAAAAATAACGGGATTGCATCAAGTTCTGGGTGAACTAGACACCATGGCACCAGTTAGTTTTCTAGTTACATTCATTTGTACATCTCTTGAAATATAACTTATGGAAAAATAAGGTTGAAAGAAAGCTTAAAAAAAAAAAAAAACTTTTTATACGTCAGGAATGCTGCAACTTTACGAAGTATTCCATGAGCCAGCAGATCAGTCTGGAAATGGGATATTTCTACCAGAGATGATAGAGATTCCAAAGAGAAAATACAGCCATGCTGCATTTAGCATCTACAGCTAAGAAGTGATTATAGGCACAGGGCTCTTCAGAGCAGGTCCCCGCAATGTAGCTGTGGTGCATGGAGCTTCGTTGCACCCATCTTTCCATTTCTCCTGCCCGCCAAGGGCTGTACCACGGGGATACCAGGCAACCTGAAGCGTGGTCTGCGTGGGCATGGGGATAACACTCTAATAGAGGTAGTGGCCACGTTGCCTTGGCTCTGCATTTGCATGGGTGATTTGTAAAGAGCATCTCTTTGGAGTGAACCTCCAGATGAAGCATGGACCAGACTTGAGTCAGCATGCTCAGAAAGCATGTTAAGTTAATAAACAAACAAGCAACAAGATAAAAGCAAACAGCTCTGAGCTTCCTGTCCTCCATTTTTTGATTTTTTTTTTTTTTTTCTTTTGAGGATAGGAAGATGGCTGTGTTTCACAGCTGATCAAATCAAAAAAAAAAAAAGGTAAAAGTTAATTAAATTCTCTTAGTTCTAAAAAAGTTGAATTATTTGAAGGTGTGGCAGTATGCACTGGCTTACTACACTTATTTAAGATAAATTAAACTCAGATAAGTCAGTCAGTCACTTGTGTAATACTTATGAATAAAACCGCCAGCTTAAGCTCCTCCTAATTAAAAAGTTATAGCCAGCTATCATGTATTCTCTTTCATCTGTGTACTTTCCAGTGAACAATTTTGGTGTAAAAACTGTTGCTAAGAGAAAATAAAACTTCAAATGGTGATTAAAGAAAGGAGAATGGAGCATGACAGCCACAATGGAGATATTCATGTAAAGTTTAAAATTTAATGCAGACATTAAATCCATCAGAGGCTATGGCACAGTTTATAAATGAAATATTATATCAAATGATCTGAAGCCTATTTTAGATACAGTGACATCTACAGATGGAGTGAATTAGGAAAAAAAAAATTGCTTCCCTAGCTTAGCATGGGACATGCAAGTGGTAGCAGCAAAATGACTGGGAAAAACTGCCTTCACCTCAGTGTCAAGGTATATTATTTTGATGTTACGGTATAATAAGATACTTTTTGGTTTATTAATAGTGTCCATATAAATTAATAATGTCTAGATGATAAGAAGGCAAATGTAATTATCCTTATTAGCTTCTTTTATCACCATCACAGAGATTTATTCATTATTAACTCAGTTATTTTCCCAATGTTGTTTACCATGTTTGCTAATAGTTTACAGCATAAAGGGAGCAGAGTCATTCCTTCCATGTGTCCTCCCTTGTCCAACAGCAATACCAGCCTACCCCGTCAGACATGTGACCTTATATACATGTTTTGTTTACTTAGGTATATTTGCGCTTGGATCAGCCTGTAACAGCTTTAAACCTTTTCAAGCAAGGTTTAGACCGATTTCCTGGGGAAGTGGCTCTTCTTTGTGGGATTGCCAGGATCTATGAGGTGCGTACGAACTATGCAATGGGCAGGGTGGTCACGGGTAGCTGCCCAAGCAAGAAGAAGAGACAATCATACAATATTCCTGTAAGGTCATGAAAAATGAACGACACTAATTTCCAGTATCACTAATGCAAACCAGATGACATTGCACAAAGAAGCTACCAAAGTAATGTCAGGGAAGCCTTGCAGGCTTTTTTGTTCGACTGGTTAATCATACCAGTGAGATGCTGCTTTTTCTTGTTCAGACACTCAGAAGCGAGCCCGCGTTGTCAGGTGATCCAGAAACTGTCCATGTAGCTATGTCTACTTCATATATTTTTCACTGGACTTTAACTGCTTGAGTCATCAACAGCCTATTGGCAGGATGAAACAGCAAAATGGTCTGCAGAGCTCTTCATTAGTGCTGCTGTCCTTATTAGACCTGTAAGTCACTGTTAATTTCTTAAGCCAGCAAGAACGGTTGGAATGTGAATGTTTCATACTTTAGGAAGAGGATTTTATTTTAAAGATGACCAGTTTTAAAGTTTTTTTTTGGGGTGGTTAGCCATATCTTTTGAATTTTAAAAAATAAGTATTTACATATCAAGCAGCAAAGCAGCAGACTTTTTTATATATATATATATATATATACACACCAAGTTTTGATAATGATGCTATTCCAAAACAAATATTTTGTTCAAAGCTATATTTTTTTGGCTACATGCATATTTGACATTCTTGCCTGTTCTTATTCTCATTTAACCCCTAGGAATGAATCCATTTTCGTGTTAAATGCTTTGTGTCCTTTAGCAAGGAAGAAAATAGCTGCATAAATTTTGAGGTCTTTCTTTCTGAATTGTTAAGCAGTTTTTAATATGGATATTATTTTGCAGAGCCATGCAAAATATTGCGTAACTCTGTAAGTAATTCTTAAGGAATAGCATATACTTGGCATGATACAGCTTTGCGCTGATACCTAAGTGCAGGGTTATTCTTTAGTCAGATAGAGAGTATAGTGAATCTACAGCACATACTTAGAAAATATTCCTCTCTAAATCCAAAAATATTTTTGTCCGTTTAAATTTACTTTATTCTAATTGGTGGTGGGTCATCTGGTGGCTTTCAGCCCTCAGAAATTGTACGACTTTGCTTAGATGACTAATTCATCTTCCAACTAGTGTACATACAGGCATGTGTTTTGATACAAACCGTTGTCTTAACCGGCACATACTAATAAATAAAAATGTTGATAATTAATCCACTATTTCTGTTTTCAGTAATAGTTCACATGCAATTACATTCTCATTTATTGTCAAAGCATTTCATGAATTTATTTACAAAGCATTGAAAGTAAAAATCAATTGTACAATATTATTTATCATGAGACATTGTACCAAAAGTAGCACATGCCCATTGCACATGCCGAGCTGAGCAGCATTCACTGTACCAGTGGTATCCAGTTATGACAGGTATAACTAGTCCTGAGAAGCAGTCAATACCTTTCTCATGGACGTGGGTATGTCGCTTGTGGAGATGCCAGTTGGTGATGTTGCGTTGATCAGAGAATAGCACAGCCTGTGTAATTAACCACAGGTAGTTAAGTACCACACAGGATACACTATACAGGAGCAAGCACTCTGTAGATGGACATTTTAACAAGTTTCATAATAAAAATGGTGATACAAAGGAGAATTAATCTTTTTTTTTTTCTGCTTTGTATAGGAAATGAACAATATCTCTTCAGCTGCAGAGTACTACAAAGATGTGTTAAAACAGGACAATACTCACGTGGAAGCCATTGCATGTATTGGCAGTAACCACTTTTATTCAGACCAGCCCGAGATAGCGCTGCGGTTTTATAGGTATCTAAACTTGAAGGGAGAGGGGGAATCAGGGCGTAGAAAGGTGGACACATGGAAGAGTAATGCAAAGGGTTGGGTTTTGTTATGCAGATAACCAAATAAGAGTATTATACTTGTAGCAGAATAAGACTAATAGACGATAAGCATGCATTTGTAGAAATAATCACCATATAATCAGCACACCAACTTAGCATCTTCTCTACCAGTGATAATTACATCTCTTTTAAAAACTTGTAATCATTGCAGGCAAAGTGTATGCAGAACTATCAGCATAGAAGATTATCATAACAGTAGATTATCTCATTAATAAATAAGAAATAAGGAATCTTTCACAGCATGAGGGAGTCTGAGAACACTGGGCCTTTCTCTCAACATCATTTGCATTGGGGAGACGCATGGAGTTTCCATTTAGCCCCTTGAAAAGGAACAGTCTCTGAAATGCTCCATTTGAAGTCATGAGCAGAGATGTGACCACAGAATCCTTTGCTTGAATGTGGGCTGGGGTTCTCCCTATGAAAGCAATAAAAAGACAGTGTTATACGATGCTACTTTCATCTGAAGTCAGAGTGCAAAGGAGTCTGACTCATGTTGCCAAGTCTTAGAGCAGATGAAGTCAATGTAAACACTTCCATGTCATTTCTGTAGTACCTGAGCTCTTCTATGCTTTAGGTTTGCAAATGTCATGCTGCAGAAAGCCAGGCAATTTTTCCCTGAACCTCGCAGCATACCTGTTTTTCCTGTAAATATTAATAAACAGAATTTCTATAAAACGTCTCCTCAAACACATTAAACAATTGATTTGAATCAGTTTTGTGGATTATGCTTTAAATATAGATTTGTATACTAAATGTACTAGTAGTAATTAGCGTAGTGCTGTATGCCAGTAATTGAGCAAAAAAAAAATTGAGGATTATTACAAAATTAACTTCAGAAATTACAGCTTGATTTCAGCTGAGAGATGGGAGAGGAGAGATGGAGAAAGAGGCAGTCTGCATACAACGCTGACTGTAACAGTAAAGTCAGATCATATGGCACAGTCAAAAAGTCAAAAATTTTCTGATCTACATAATGTTTTACACAGCTATGATTCAAAAGTCAAAAATTTTCTGATCTACATAGAGAATGTTTTACACAGCTATGATTCTGCTACTCAAAAATGCCCTGCACTGGGTTCAAACAACCTTTACTGAGTGTAAGACCATAACAAAAAAAAAGTCTGAAACAGCAAAATAATGTACTTAGCTATTATACCCTGGGGAACTGGGAAAAAGGAGAAATGCATTATTTAAATAGAAATGATCATAGAATATCGTAGAATTGTTAAGGTTGGAAGGGACCTCTAGAGACCATCTAGCCCAACCCCCCTGCACACGCAGTGTCACCTAGAGCACGTGGCACAGGACTGCGTCCAAGCGGGTTTTGAAGATCTCCAGAGAAGGAGACTCCACAACCTCTCTGGGCAGCCTGTTCCAGTGCTCTGTCACCCTCACTGTTAAGAAATATTTCCTTAAGTTCCTGTGGAACTTTTGGTGTTTCAGTTTGTGGCCATTACCTCTAGTTCTGTCAGTGGCCACGACTGAAAAGAGGCCAGCACCATCCTCCTCACTGCCTCCCTTGAGGTACTTATAGACACACTCTAACCTGTATATGTAATTAAAAAACAATATCTGCAATGAAAACAAAAAATGTATTTAACAAATATTTTCTCTTAATACAGACGGCTCCTGCAGATGGGTATTTACAACTGTCAGCTTTTTAACAATCTTGGCCTCTGTTGCTTTTATGCCCAGCAATATGATATGACACTAACTTCATTTGAACGTGCACTTTCTTTGGCTGAAAATGAAGAGGAGACAGCAGATGTGTGGTACAACTTGGGACATCTTGCTGTGGTATGAAAAATACTTAGAACTTTTCTGAATAAATATATACAAAATGAAAAAGTAACTGAAAAAAGAATAGCGTGGATGTAATCATTGCCCAAGCATGAAATAAAGTATAAAACAGATATAATAGAGGATAAACTGCAGTATAAATTTAATTAAGATTTATTTGCTCTTTCAGAGAGAGAAAGAAGCAAAAGAAGAGTTCTGTGCGTCTTCACAGAACATGGTTTTCTCCTGCTAAAAGATGCACTCTTTCTACTATCTTTAACCTTCCTTTCCAAAAATTTGTAACTCATACAAACCTCTGGGCCTTTGATGCAATATAAGCTAATTTGACCAAAAAAAAAAAAATCAAGATCGTTCAGGAGCACATAGGAGACATTAAAGTGCTGTACACAATATGGTTGCTCTGTCTTATGCACAGCAATAGAAATATTTTGTAATATGTGTTAAAAATTATTAACTTCCTATCTACTTAACTAATTTATATTCATTGCACATTTTCAGATGCTCTTCTAGAAGTTGTTAGATTTCTCTTAAGCTGCACATCCAGAGTAAAGTTCTGGACAAATGATTTTTTGATAGCTTCCTAATATGAGTTCCATTCAGATGCTTATTATCTTTTAACTTAGGTCAGTGGGAAACCTTTTCATCTTGGTTGTACTGGAACTATGATAAACACATTAACTTATACTTCCAGAGCACTGCAGTTTGACCTGATGTGCGTGTATTTTTCAGCATTTGACACTTTTAATGTATCAGTCAGTCATAAAACCAGAGCTTTAAGGAGTAGTCAGTTCCTCAAAACAGAAAGTTTTATTCCCATTAATTTTAACCATCTAAAGGCTGGAATTATATGTTCCTTTTTAATCTGCATATAGAGAGGTGAGATGGCTGTCTTCAGATGTGTCTCTGGGTGTTTCTTTTGAGTTTATAAGGTAGCATGTAGCTTTATCTTTAGATGACACTTTAGTCACCAAGCAGTTAAATTAGATGAAGTGAATCTCACTTGGATCATGGCTGTGCTGGAGAGAAAATTCTTTCTGTTAATGAATAAGAAATAGAGGAATTGGGAAGAAAGCACATATGGTTCTAATCAGCATGTTTTTGCTGAGATTTGTATTCCATGGCAGTGCATATGGATGAAAAGATACTCAAGACAACAAAACAGACGTGTTGTTTCAAATCTTTTGACAAATTAAAATACAACCTTACTTTTAGGGGATAGGAGATGTGAATCTGGCGTACCAGTGTTTCAAGCTAACATTGGTTAACAACAATGACCACGCAGAGGCTTACAACAACTTGGCTGTGCTGGAAATGAGAAAAGGTCACATTGAGCAGGTGGGTATTAAATAAGTTATCTCTGCCTTCCCAAATAGTTTGCAGATGTTTTTAAAAGATCTGATATGTTCCCCAACTCTTTAGTATTTTCTAATACTACTAACTTGCTACTCAGAAAAGAGAGCGAGTAGATTGTTTAGTGCTTAGAGTACTGTCAAGCTTGACATCTTCAAAAGAGATCCCTTTATGATGTTTAAAAATATACGCCAATCCTAAACATTTTTCTGTCTCTCGTTCATGGGAAGGATTTTACTGTCATTTCTCCAGGAGCCTGGACAAATTAGGCTGAGCGACCCAGAATGCTGGGTCATTTGGGAGGTTAGTCACATCCACACATCTCCACTTTCCGGTTTTCCCTTCAGCCCTGAGGAAAGCAAGCAAGGAAAATTCTGCTCGCCAAACACTGTGGTGAGCAGGACTCTGGGCCATTTCGAGCCCTTTCCAGCACGCAGGAACAAATTTGCAGGGAGAATAAATAAGAGGCATTCCTCTTATGTATTTTCCTTTACTTAGTTACCTATTTCACCTTGATCTCGGTATTTTTTTAAGCTTTTTAGGAAGTGTGAAAACAAGATAAAGGCTTTCATTGCAAATTTGGAGTGTGAAAATCATGTCACTTAGCTTTTCAGGAATGTATTCTATGAAAGTGAATTTAGTATGCCTCAGATGCTTATACTTTCCATCATCACGAACCAAGTTTTATATATATATATATATATATAAAAAATATTATATATTTAAAGTTGACTTTGTTATTAAAGGCTTACGCAGAACCCAGCATGTTTTCTCTAGAAAATGAAGAAGGATGCATTAGCCTCTTGTCACCTTCCCTCACATATTTCACTACATTTTTGATTTTTTTCTCTTTTCTTTTTTGCACAGGCAAGAGCTTTGCTACAGACTGCTTCATCTTTAGCACCTCATATGTATGAGCCGCATTTTAATTTTGCAACACTTTCAGAGAAGGTAATGTGCTACCCTGCTCTTGTGATCTAAAAATTGAGCCTTGGATGGGATGGCTGGGTTTGATTATTATTTTAAATATTCCAAATAGGTAATACAGAGCACTGAACTCAAGATAAAACTAAAGTTACATTTTCATTTTCATACCTAGCAGCTTTGAGTGAAAATAGTCATTAAAATATTTGTTTTTGAGAATAGGCAAAGCCAACTTAGATAGTTATATATAACTATATATTTAACATTTTATATAACTATACTGGAATTTTAGTATTTCTCCAAATGCACAGAAGATTAACAATTCCACCTACTTCCTTACAATCATTAGCTTTTTTTATAACATGAAGTGAGTAGTATCAGGTAATTTACCACTAATGATAGAATATCACTTAGTCCATGAGCTTAGTTATCTCAGAAGAAAATTATGTTCAGCTTTATGACTTCTGAATTTTGTGTGTTTAATTATTTCTTTCATGAGGGGAGCATGAGACACTGAATTAACAGGGTACCTGACATCCTTATTCCTATTAATAAGGAGAAAGTTGTATATATTCTGAAATTTTACAGAAAGAAATTACTTTGCCTGTGCCTTAAATGTTTTGTTATGAGTATATGCTGTGTGGGCAGCCCAGTTCCTACAGATACTTCAGTATATGTGTCAGGAAGAGAATAATCCATTAATTTATAAGCATATCCTCTCCAATGTGAAACACAGGATAGTTTGGAATAATTGTGCTTTATACTTGCTGATTAAGGAGCAAATTGTAGTCTGTAAATGAATGATTATGTAGTTTTTGCACAGAGAAACTGCCCTGGCTGTGGAGCAGGCAGATGCAGCCTGCTGCATGGCGCTGGGCAGCTCGCTCCTGCGGTCGGTACATGAGTGGAAGGCCCTGGTTTGTGTGGTTATGTGGGTGCAAGGCCATGGTTTATGGAGCATACGCTCTCCGGCCAGGACCCTGGGTTTCTTCCCCTGCAGAGAATTCCTGCCGCACTGTAGCTCTGTAGTCACTTGCATGTAGGCAGCCCAGGTCTTTTCCTGTAGCTTTTTCCTTATCATTCCCAAACATTCTGGTCCCTTTTTTGCTGAACTCACATTCTGAGATATGCTGTTATGTACACTTTCCCCTTTCAAAAATGATTGCTATTTAGGAACAAATAAAAAAGACTCCCAGGATAGGGAGCCATGTGGAAGCCTGCTTCTAAAAGCAGCAGAAAGGCAGCCTACAGCTCAGCAGCTCTGTAGCACTGTCCTGCTCCTCCCTGTGAAGCAGGAAGTCACAGGGAGTTGCTGTCTTTACAGAAGCTAGTGCTGCTGACTGGTTCTATCTTGTCTCTGTATAAGACAACACTCATATGGAGTTTAAAACCCTTCTTTTCTTTCTTTCTTTATTCTCTTTGCTTCTAGCACTAGGCTTTATGTACCTTGTTTTGCAGTTTCCAAAAAGTTGAGTAGGGACGTATAAAAGTCACTGTCTTGATGAACTCCCCTCCCTTCAAATCCAACTGCTATTTTTTGCTTCCCCCCACTTGCAGTTTGTCCCCTTTCCTTAAAGGGGGAGGGAAAATAACACTAAGTTCAAAATTTTCCATAATGTACCAGGCTCATCTATTCAGTTTCAAGACCTGCTATGTTTAAACATTTGTGAATAGCAAAAATATACTGCACAGAATACATGGCAGAAATATTGCAATGCTTGGCTCTATAAAGTGAGTTTGTTCTTTACAGATTGGCGATCTTCAAAGGAGTTACACAGCTGCCCAGAAGTCAGAGGAAGCGTTTCCAGGCCACGTTGATACACAGCAGCTTCTCAAACAGTTAAGAGAGCACTTTGCTATGCTTTGATGACATTTTTTATTATGTAAAAGCAGTTCAAAATCAGGCAGAGTCGATGCCTAATACATTTAAAACTACGGCTTGTGGCAAAACCTGTGAGTAGCAGAAAAGATTTAAGATTCCTATTTAGTTTGTGTCAACTTTGAACATTATCACTTTTAGAAATACAGCCAGAATATGTGTTGCAACTACACAGAAGAGAGAACGTAAGAGTGGCAAGATATTACCACTGGGACAGCTTTAAATAGTTGCCTTGTATATTAGCAAGTAAGTCTCCCTTTGATATTAATGAACTTCTTTAAGGTTTTGTTCTGACTTTTTTTGCAGAAAAAATGTATTTAGATATTCCTGTGTGACAATCTGTCAAGCAGCATCGAGTAAGAATACTTTGTAAATGGTTTTCAAACCTGGCTTTTGATACTGTGTTTTCTTACTGAAGTACTTAACATGTGTGTAAAATACACATGCAAAGAAGTGGTTCATCTGTTGTTTGTTGTACCAGGAGAATAAAATAAATTTCAGTTTGTATAGTTTGTCTCGTTTGTTTACACAAATTTACATCCTTATTGCCTTGAAGAGTCAAAGCTCTCGAAATATTTTGAAAAACTCAGCAGAACTGATACTGAACAGCACGGTAATAGCTTCCCTCCTGAGAGGAAAGTGCAATCTTCATGTCAGCAAGGGAACAGGCTGCTTAGGAACTTGCAGTAGTAGCTACTACCCATAGCATGGTTGCTAAATAACTACATGCATCAGTGTCACTACAGCAACACTACTTGTAACAACAAACAGCCAAAGACTGTCTAGACCACACATCTCTGTGTTCAAGCTAGCATAAATTTGCATGATTTCCCACCCTGACCTTTTATAAAGGCCTTTAAGAAATGTGGGATGTGAAGATACTCTAAAATGGCACATTCTGAAATGGGCCTTTAAAATCATTTCATGTTCCTGTGATACTTAAAGGATTTTCTTGACTTAAGAAGCAGTCCTAAAATGCTTATGGTTATGATGTCTTCCTCTTCTCTCTACTCTTGATGACTTTTCCACCTTTATTTTTCCATGAATGTTGTAGATGGTAAAGATAGATACAGAAAGCTCAGAGAAGTTTATCCACGGGCTGCCTTACCAAGCAGTCTGTAGGTGAGGGGTTCACAACACAATATAAGCAGATGACACAACATGCTGTGAACTGCAGAAACAATGTTGCTGGGTAAATAGATGGAGCATTTCTAAGCATTACTTTTTCCACATGTATTTAGATTGTCAAAATTTTGTCACAGAGTGACTTTCACAGAGTGAAAGTTATCAATAACCTTCACTAGCTAATTAAAATCACAATTTTCTGCTAGAAATGCAGAATTTGTAAAGAACCTCCATCCTTTCATCTATTGCAGTTATATCTTTCCGGTTGCTGATGCTAAACAAAGGAAGCTATCAAACAGCATGAACGTGTTTGTCTAAGCAGTTTGTGCGCAACTGTTGAGAGTTTGAGTGTCATATTATTAATTCAAGATATTTTTAAATTGCTTAGTAAGTGAGATTATTTCTACATGAATTAGAAAGAAACTAACGGGAAAACTTCAGTTTTTAATCTACTTTGTGGCAGCTCAGTAGTTTCTCATAACCTGTCAAGTTAATGACCTGAACAGCTTTGCCTTTTAGCAAACTGCACTCCTTAGAACTTGGATCTGACGTGATTACTATTTCAGTATTGATCTAAGTGTGGAGATTAAGAGGCCAATACATGGTAAGAAATATTCTGTGTTTTCAGGGAAAAAAAAGAAAGAGGGACAATTTTCTACATGAGGACCTAAAAAGGTTTTAATCCATAACATGTAGCACCTGCAAGCCATTCCAGTTATTTTCTGTGCTGTATTTTGAGTATTTGTTTTGTTGACCTTGTACACCCCAAAGCAAGGGTATTGCAATGTATTTTTCATGACTAGCACACATGCAAATCAAACCAAATGTGGCAGTGAGAACAGCAGCACAATGAAACAACAGATGACCAGGCAGCCTGTTTGTGGTGGAAGAATCTTTCGATTTTGTTTTATGTTAATTCAGGGCGAGCTCCAGCGAACAGATGAATGGGCAGCCCCTGGGGCAAAGTGCCCTCCGTGAGCCCGGCACGACGTCGCGTGACCCAGCGCCGCGCTCGGCCCCACAACCCTCCTAGGACAGTGTGACCTTAGTAGCGGCAGCGCCATTTCCATAGCACAGAAATATTTTTTTTCTCTAACCAGTCGCCCAGCCCCAGCTGTGACAAGCCAGCATTTTAAAAAAGTCCTTTGGGAGTAAAAGATAGAATATGAGGAGACAAATTTTTTTTTAAGCAGATTGCCAGGAGGTCTTGAAAGTTTCTACTTCCCTTCAGAAAAGGTTTGCTGCTATGAACCCCTGTCTCAGCCTTATTACTGGCTTCTTTATGATGGATTAATCCCTTTGAAAGTTGATATTAAACAGTTAGTATTATGACTGGATTTGGGTTATTCTGCAGAACAGCAGGGAAAAGTTTAAGTCATAGCACCAGTCACACAACTGTGGCTAAAATTGGTCAGAATTCACAGATACTGAACAGGACAAGTTTGCTATCAGGTACCCGTTCAGTCAGTTGAAGACTGAAATACGATCCCATTCTCTTATTCTGCCTGTAGGCCAGAAGGAGAGATTTTTGTGCCATTCAGTCTGATCTCAGATACAACATCAGCCAAAACTTGTAAGCCAGTTACCCTTCTTAATGAGCCTAGGTTGTGCTTGACTGGTGCTCATCTGTCAGAGCAGCATCACGTTTTGCTGTAGAACACATCACAGCATTGCCCATGGAAGATTCTATATTTAGCAGCTCTCTACCACAAGTGTCTTTCCTCTGTAAAGGCTGACTTCAACTTCATTGGTAGCCTCCTCTCCTTCACCCACAGAGCAGCTCCTCAGCACCTGCCTTGGGCACTCGAAGCACTGGGCTCTGCTGCAGGGAAGCGAGGACCAGAGCTGTGTTGTCTCCTGTTAGATGGACCTTATCTCCTAACTGCTTCACCTCTGCAGTGGCCGTGTCACAGTCGCCAGTGGTAGAAGAGGGTGGAGATGGCATCTGTGGCAGCATTTTGGGGCCAAATACACTGTTGGCCTATCAAAGGCAGAACGAGCTAGGGAACTCCAAGACCTAGCACAAACTGGCTGGTCTGAACCAGACTGGGCAGTTATTAACCCATAAAACCAGAAGCAGCTGCTGTGAAAACTTACTGTTTGGTATCAAGCATGTCCCGTGGGCAAGGACAGAGCTGGGAAGTCTAAATTGCTATCAAAAATCAGTTCAACAAGGAGAGGAAGGGAAAAGCACCTATATAGCAGAAAACTAAATAAGCAGAAAAAAAAAAAAAACAACACTGTAAGACCTCCCATCCCATTCCTCCCTCTCCCTGAGGAGGTTTTGAAAGCAGATTCCCTGATGCTTTCCGATGAGGCTGCCCAAACACACTGCAGAATAAAACACGGGATGTGGAGTCGCCCTGGGATCACACAGGACGAAGCGCCTCAGGCAGCCAGGGCCAGGGGCAGCCCGCACTCCTCGTGCCCTGCAGGTGATTCCTGCGCTCACATCTCGGTAGTTCCGCACCGCTGGGCTCTGCTGGCCTGCGAGTATCAGGGATACGGATATCCCAGCCACCCCTAGGAATGAGCGAACAGGGAGAATGACCCTTCCTCTATAAATAACTAAAAACTAAATTCCTCTAAGTGCTTTAGTGCTTTAGAACATAAATGAAGCAAAAGCCAAGAAACCTTGATATTTAAGGCATAGCCAAGCTCACCTCTGCAGTCACCCTGCAATAACACTTAAATTGCTGCACTGGTAGGAGAGGTGCCCTGCTCATCCTCCTAGTCCCAGGCTCTGCAGCTCACAGTTTGGGAATCTGACCTCAGAAATGTTTGTGAGCGGATTACATCTGGGAGACATGTCATCATGGGGAGCAAAAGCTACCAAGCAAACATACCGTGATGGTAACTGAATTATGTGAAATAGCAGTATACTTAGCTTCTCCTTTTGATGGGCTAGTTACACCATTTGCTTAGAGTACAGCCTTTCCTGTTCTCTTGGGAATGTTACAGAAGTGTCATAGAAAGTCTTTATCAGCTATACCCTTATGCAGATACTAGATTTGTATGGAATACACCAATCAATAAATAAATAAAAAGGAGAGAGAGATCTTCAAGATGATTTTACTTCGAACCACTAAGTTAATATAAAGACCTCTCTTTCTGACACCTAATACATTATGTATAATTGTGTGCTTAAATATATCAGTGCATGCAGAGTTTGGGTTTTCTCCATCTTCTGTTTGTTTTTTGACAGATACTATCTGTGAAACTAAATATATTGTTTCAAAGGTAGGTCTCCAAGCCGTGAAAAAAAGTGAGAAACAGTAGGACACAGACTTGCTAAGCGCTACGGAAAGGGCAAACTCATTAAGAGCTAGGAAATTGGGCTCCCACAAGCAGACCTCTGCAGCATTTTTTTTTCTCATTTCTAGCTTATTAAGTTTAAATAGCCATAAAGCAATTGCCAAGATTTTAAGTGTTAGCCTCAGTAGTACGTAGTATTTTTTTTTACTACTACCAGTTCCATATATTGCCTAGTCTATATGCTATAATAATGTCAAGCATATTTATAAATATTAACCATCCTTATATACAACACAATCAGATCATCCCGACCAAGGGTCACAAGATCCTCCATTAGAGATTCTGGTCTATTTGTTTGTAAAATATCACAGAAAAAATAAGCTATATTATGAACATATTCTACAATTACTCTTAGGTCTTCTGAATAAGCCAACTGTATAGGGCTCAGAGAAAAACATGTTCTAAATATATGATCACTGTTTTTTGTTTGTTTGTTTGTTTTTAAATCAGTAGGAGAACTAAAACAGATCTATGCATTTATCCTAGCCTTTAATGCGTGTTCTTCCAAAGACATTCCTGTGGGCAGCCCCACAGAAAAAGCTTTAGAATTTCTGATTTACTTCTGCCTGCAGCCCTCCATTACC